CTACACATAATAATGCCATGCAAACAAAGAAACAAACAATACATGGGACAATAACACAAATGAAAGAGATTTATCCAGTTGGTAAGGTCCGAGATTCCCCCGGTTTCCTTTGACAACTATTGTTTTATCCAAATACAGGCAAATGACATCCTATATGTGATGTATGTTGCAGTATATTTGTAGGGGTTTTCATGCCCTTCTTCACAACAAATTTATATACTCAGTATTGAATAATTCTTATCCCACTTAGGATCAGAATCTGTAAAACATTGCAATTGTAATCTCTAAGTTTAACTCCCACAAGAAGATTCGGATTGGATCTGAAGCAGAGGGGGAGAATGAATACTAGAAGAAAGCTTGTAATAGCTGGCTGCAAAAGTACATACCATACATGTATATATTTAAAATACGAAGACAGCCTACACAAATAACAAAATCTGGTGTAATGCTTCGACAAAAAACAGGCAGGGGATTACAGAAGTACGAGAAGAGACAGAGAGAGACAATTGTGCAATTCAATCAAGCATTCTCAGCAAATGTTTGGTGTGAGTTTGAGAGTATCACTCTGCTGCTCCGTCTTCTTGTTCATTTGAAGCAGAATTTCCCATCTGAGGTCTTCGCATAGCTGAAGATGAAGAAGAGGGAAAATTGTAAGAAATGAAGCTTTCAGCAATTTTACTTGAAAAAATTACTGCAGTCTTATATGCTTCACACCTATGTATTACACTTACAAACAGACTAGCTAGATACATGGTTGCAGTAGTCGCTAGGCGCTAGTCGGGCGCCCGGACAGCGCCTAGCGCCTAGGCGGAATCTAGGCGAGCGCCAAAAAAACAGTGGTAGATTTGTAGTTTGACAATTTTAATGAGGTTGTTTTCAATATTTAATCAAATAACACATCCAAATAAATGAATTAATGATAATTCATAACATCAAAACAATGGTTTTCAAAAAAAAAAACATTAAAACAATATTAAAAATTAAAAATACTCAAATACTTCAATCATACAAAGATTCAAAGTATCAAACTAGTCTACGAGTGTATATATGTCATATTATATATATGTATGCGTGCGCGCACACACACATATAATAAAAAAATAAGCCGAGTCGATCGGGTTAACTCGACCGAGATGGACGAGTTAACTCGACTAACTTAGACGCTAGGCGGCCAAATCGGCAGAGTTAGGCGCTAGGCGGACGCCTAAGCGGGCGCCTAGGGAGGAAATCGCCACGGTCTAGAGGCGCCTAGGCGGGGCTTAGGCGGGCGCCTAGACCGATTTTTACAACCCTGGCTAGATATGATAACCCACTATTTCACTACTGCAATTGCTTAGATAACTATGGAATAGAGAGATGTCAACAAGCCATCAGAATCAATGAATAAAATGCAGAGGACTGTTGATGGTAAAGGACATGCAACAGCCATAATAAACAAATAAGAAATGTAGCAATAGCAACTGAAAGTTCATATGTTGGTGTCTCCCTTGCATAAAAATCCTCTAATCAATTTTAAAATTTTCTACAAACTTTGAAGTTCTCATAATTTAAAACTGTGGATGACCGACTAAACTGTCCATATATCCACGCAGTCTGAAAATAACCAATAACTTAAAGCAGTTTCTTTCACTAACGGAAATCAAAGTAAACAACCAACCAAGAATCGAAGTAAACAACAACCAAGAATCGATGTGATTTAAATTGCTAATACAAAGATGAAATAGAAAATAATTCCTTTTTAAACTCACATTTGATGGATGATCCAGCTAGACAAGTCAGCCTGGATTTCGTATTGGCCACTGCCAGTGGATTTAATTTCTCCTTCCCTGCCATCCGAAGATCCCAGACACGTATGTTGCCATCTGATGATGCAGATGCTACTAAATATGGATACTCTTCAGCAGTGGAATCATCATTTTCGGAGAGTACAACAATTCCTTTAACACGGGCTGAATGTGCATCATCAATGTTATATGCCACTTTTCCACTTTTTGTGTCCCATGCCATAATATTCCTGTCCTCTCCTCCAGTAAACAATATACCACCCTGCGAAATATTAGTTCAGTTTCAAAACATATTGAAATATCATGAGAGAAGAAGAAAGGAGAGGAATAGCTTAGGAATCTGGTTTTAACTTTAAATAGAACAAACAATCATAATCTGAAGAAGTGAACCTTAAAATATAGAACTAGTATTTCCTAATTTTGATTAAACAGGTTTGTGCATGACAAGAATTTTGAACTCAGTTACATGGATTTGCAGCATATGAAATATTGTAATAGGAATTTCCATACACCTTAATAACTCACTTTCTTCGAAATCTGTAACTTCTACAAATACAAGCAATATGTTCTTAGAACAAAATGAAATTCAGCAAGCAGCAATTAAATTGTTTATATAAAATTCAAAGCAAGCTATTGAATTGAAGCTTTACACGCCACACTCACACATGCTATAAATATAAAAGCAAGACATTAAAATTCCTAGATATGACGAACACAGTGCATAACTCACCTTTCCTGAGGCAGCACAGAGAACTCGCTTCGCATTATTGAATTCCAAAACTATTCTTGCATCCTCAGACTCGTGTACTGAAACTTTTTCATCCATAACCATGTAGAATGTGTTGCCAGTTTCGTTAAATTTCACGATAGAGGCTTCTTTGCCCAACCTGCAGTAAAAACTCCTCCTCCCTCTAACCAAATTAACCATAGCTAAGCATCCATCTCGGCTCACCGACAACGCCAGCCGCCCTGAGGGGTGGATAGAAAGGGAATTGACGCCTTTTCGGTGGACTTTCACAGTTTTGAGGTGAACAAAGGGATCGGCGTCGTAGATGGAGATTGAGCCATTGTCAGCAGCAGAGATTAGGTTGCGCGGGAAGGAGAGGGATGGAGGGGTGTAGAATGCGAGGGAATTGATGGTGGCAGATCCGTGGAGGGAGCCGATTTCGGAGCAAGTGGAGAGGTCATAGATTTTAATGGTGTCATCGGAGCCACCAGAGACGGCGGCAGAGCCTGAAACGTCGGCACATTTGATGGTGGAGAGGTGGGAAGGGAAGGAGAAGAGGGGAATTAGATCAAAGCTTTGAAGGTCCTTCAGAGATTTCAGTTTGAACCCCCATATGAAACGCTCGTACGAACCGGCGATTAAACTCATGGATTTTCCAGATTCGAGTGAAGAAGTCCTCTCTGTTTGTTCTCTATAAAACCCTAAAGAAGAGGAAGAGAAGGGTTTAATAAGAAAAAATAAATGCAATTACGAAATTGCCTTTGTATACTCTTCAAAACTTTTAAAATTATAGATTTTAATGAACTTTTATTAATTTTCATAGAATCATTCTAAACTTTTGGAAACTTTATAACTTATAACCGACCGAAAAAACTGGCCGGTCAGTTATATCAGTTACCGAAAAACCGAACATTGACATGGAAAATGCAAGTACCAAATACCAAATACCAAATACCAAATCACACACAAACTGCCAAAGTCACAAATAGATACTAATATACTAATACAAATCCAAATACTACAAACTTACAAAGTCAAATTCACAATGTCAATGCCAAACTGCCAAGTCTTAACATTGTATATTAGTAAATAGTAATAACAGTACAAAGTGTTTAAACACACTGCCTGGAACCACCCAGTGCCAAAAAGAAAAAATGTCAAAGTGTTAATCACACTGCCTGGAGCCCTGGAAGCACACGGTGTCACAAACAATATAATACAACAGAATTAATGCACTACAGTATAACACACCGGTTAATTATATTATCTAATTAAATAAATTATATAATCTGACCCTATTAATTTGAGTAATTGACTGTTAGTTCACATGCAAATTGGTTTTAAAACTTCAATAACAACAACAACAATGCAGACATTTATGCCTTCTCTAAACTATTTTATGCTTGATAAAGACTAATTAAATACTTAATTAAACATACTTAAGTGAGGCAGTGACTAAGTGAGGGCCGTGAGGCTGAGGTGAGATGGCTTACTTACGCGGCGAGCAGTAGTCAGTAGATGACTGACTGGCGGCGAGCCGGCGAGGCTGAGGTGAGGTGAGAGCCGAGAGGAGGAGAGGGCGTCGGAGAAGCAGAAGCCCAGAACGGAGATCGTCGGACAACTCGGGTGTCGCCGCGTCGGCTGTGGCCTGTGGAGAAGGCAAGATGGAGAGAAATTTGGATTCTGGAGACTGGAATGGATTAGCTGATTAGGGATTTAGGGGTTTAGGGTTTTAGGGTAGGGTGGTTTCAAAGAAGCAAAAAAAAAAAAAAAAAAAGGATTTTAGGGTATTTTAGAGTAGGGAATATCAATCGTTATATCCTACACCACGGCGCACATAGCACTGTGCGCCGCGCGCCTCCCAAAACGATGTTGTTTTGGGGTAGTGTTGGGAGGCGCGGTAGGAAGTTGCTGAGATTATGTGTATTTGTTCAAAACGTTATGTGTATTTGTTCAAAACGTTATGTGTATTGGTTCATACAGTTATGTGTATTTTTTATACAATTATGTACATTCTTTTTATACAATTATGTACATCCGAATCAGAAAATTTGTGTGTATTATGTTAATAGTTGATGTGTATTATGTTAAAAGTTTATGTTTATTATGTATTATGTTAGATTATGTGTATTATCTTTTAAAAAGAGTATGTATATTTTGTTATATAATTATGTACATTCATGTATAACATTATGTGTATTCTAGTTTAATATTATGTACATTCTTGAACAGCGGGTTTTTTTTTTTTTTAAGAAAAAACTACTGCCATTCACTGGGGCAGAAAATTTCAAAAAAAAAAAAAAAAATTAAAACGACGTCATTTTACATCTGGGCGCATAGTGCAACGCGCGCCGTGGTGTAGGATATAAATTGCCAGGGAATATAAGTTTTCAAAAAAAAAGGGTAGGGAATATAAATACTCCGTATATAATTAGATTTTGGATTGGGTTATGGTATATCATGTATGGGCTTGGGCTGGCAGTATTGGATTGGTCCAATGGTTCATGTAATATTTTATATATAGAATTAATAGGCAAATTATACCGTGCACCAGGGCGCACATTAACGACGTCGTTGTGTACTTTTTTTTTTTCTTTTTTTTTTTTTGTCTGTTGTTTACTCCTTAAAAAAAAATCATATTTCAAATGTACATAATTGTATAATAGAATACATAGAATTTTATACCTGAAAAACACATAATTTTATAACTAAAAATTCTCATGTTTTGAATGTACAGAATTATATAATAGAATGTACAGAATTTTATATCTGAAAACACAGAATTTTATAACTGAAAATTCTCATGTTTCGAATGTACAGAATTATATAATAGAATGCACAGAATTTTATACCTGAAAATACAGAACTTACCAAAACAACGTCGTTTTGGGAGGCGCAGGGCGCACATATGGGGTCCCTGGTGCATTTTATAACGATTGGAATTAATATCACTTTTTGTTCCCACAACTTATGGGGTCCCATTAATTTTGGTGCACAACTTTTAGTTTTTTTAGTTTTGGTACTTAACTTAATTTTTTAATCAATTATCGTCCTTCCGGTCAAATTGGCCGAAAATTGTCGTCGACTTTCATAGTTTTAAGGGAAAAATGGTCTGCTCCAAAGCAAATAAAAAATTCCTCTATTTTCTTCCCGAAAACTAGCCCTAATCCTTTTTCCTTGCATCCTTCCTTCCCTTACCATAAACCTCCGCTAAGCTTACGCCAAAAGATTGGGTCTATGCTAAAATGTGTGCGCTAAGCTAAAGGATGGGTTCGTCATTTGCATTAGGTAAGTTATAATGTTTGTTGCTTTATACATTCAAAATTAGAAGTGGTAAAGTATATTGAAATATGGAATTTATTTATACTTTTGTGAAGTGGATAATCTAGTTTGCTGCTTTCAATTTTAGAGTATACTGCACTTTTTATGTTTTTTTATTTGTAATAGATGCAGGGACCATTCTATGGGTATTTGTATATATCACTAATTATTATATGAATGTGGGGATCAAAAAGTTCAACTTTATGTGAAAAAACATGTTTCTGTTTTTTGGAGATATATGTGTTTTTACTAGGGATACATTGTTTGACCAGTGGACTCCATATGTATTGTAGTTGTCATTATTTCTTTGTACAGTTTCATTATGAATTTTTTTTTTTTTTTAAACAGATGTACTAGTTCAGACCAAATTCACTCTTAGAATTCAACATGGTGGAAGAATAAGTAATGTAGTTGAACCTTGTTATTTTTTTTTTTAATACAAGGGAAGGGTGGAACCCCGGGAAACAAAACAGATTAGTCACCACGGACATAGGGAACACCTAAACTATCATTGCCCTTGTTATTTAGGGGGGGGGGGGGGGGGGGGGAGTGAAGTTATTGACCCTGTGTACCCTAATGAATTTGAAAAATTTTATTTGAATGAGAAACTGTTGCAACTAGGATACTTTAATGTTGAGGAAGCTAAGGTGTATTACTTGACAGGGAATCTTCTAACGTTTATAGAAAGCGAATTGGATATGTGGGATGCAGTTGATAATTTGTACATGGATAGAGGTAGGTGCTTAGAGTTATGGGTTGAATTTAAGGACAATGATGATGGTTTAGTTGATGTAACGGTTGATGAAGAAGAAAATGATTTAGTTGATGTAGCAAGTGAGGATGAAGTAGATGGTGAATGGGAAGAGTTAACCAACAGTGACAATGATGTTTTGAATGACTTAGAATATGCGGAACATGTGGACCCTACTGTTGAATTTGGTGGCATTGAGAATGGAAAAGACCAGTTATTGACCCTGTGTACCCTAATGAATTTGGAAAATTTTATTTGAATGAGAAACTATTGCAACTAGGATACTTTAATGTTGAGGAAGCTAAGGTGTATTACTTGACAAGGAATCTTCTAACGTTTATAGAAAGTGAATTGGATATGTGGGATGCAGTTGATAATTTGTACATGGATAAAGGTAGGTGCTTAGAGTTATGGGTTGAATTTAAGGACAATGATGATGGTTTAGTTGATGTAACGGTTGATGAAGAAGAAAATGATTTAGTTGATGTAGCAAGTGAGGAAGAAGAAGATGGTGAATGGGAAGAGTTAACCAACAGTGACAATGGTGTTTTGAATGACTTAGAATATGCGAAACATGTGGACCCTACTGTTGAATTTGGTGGCATTGAGAATGGAAAAGATGTTAGAAAAAATTTGAAAGAAGGAAATAGTGAGCCTAACTTTTCTGATGATGTATCACTTAGAAATTTTGATAGTTGATGTGACAAGTGTCCACAAGATCTTACTTCTCTACAATCCCCTACTTTGACATGTTGGTTAACAACATTTGTGAGTGCTTCAATGGGGTCATTTTGAATATATATATATATATACATACATATATATATATATATATATATATATATATATATATATATATATATATATACACACACACACACACACACACACACACACACACTAGATATTGTCCCGTG